GGCCTGGTCTGCCTTTTGGGTGACAAAAGGGTGTCAGAGTCTATTCAGTGAGGAGAAAGCTCTCATCCAGCCTCTTCTCCCATTTCTCCACCAATCTGGGGATACCCAAGTTGACAACCATAAGGGAACCTCTGTTTCCAACAGTAACTGAAAAATTCACAACATATCTGGGCCACAGTGCCCCTTGGTCACATACATGACCTGAGTCTGGTTTCATGGCACCAACACAAAGCTCTTTGCTGACCTCCATCCTTTTTAACCTTTGCTTAGGGCATAAAACTCCTTAAAATGTATGACAGCTCTGGACCCCTTTCTTTTTTTTTTTTTCCAGTTTTATTTTACTTATTTATTTATTTTTAACAAATAGTTTATTGTCAAATTAGTTTCCACATAACACCCAGTGCTCATCCCCACAAGTGTCCTCCTCCATGCCCCTCCTCCCTCCCCCCCACATCCATCAGTCCTCAGTTTTTGTCCGCATTCAAGAGTCTCTCATGGTTTGCCTCTCTCCCTTTCCCCCACCATTTCCGCCCTTCTTCTCCCCCTTGTTCCTCCGTCAAGTTCCTCCTAATCCTCCTATACGTGCAAACATATGATATTTGTCCTTCTCTGCCTGACTTATTTCGCTCAGCATAACACCCTCAAGGTCCATCCATGTTGCTACACATGGCCAGATTTCATTGTTTCTCATTGCCATGTAGTATTCCATGGTATAGATAAACCACATCTTCTTGATCCATTCATCTGTTGATGGACACTTAGGCTCTTTCCATGTTTTAGCTATTGTGGAGAGTGCTGCTATGAACATTGGGGTACATGTGCTCCTATGCCTCAGCATTTCTGTATCCCTTGGGTAAATTCCTAGCAGTGCTATTGCTGGGTCATAAGGGAGTTCTATTGTTAGTTTCCTGAGGAACCTCCACACTGTTTTCCAGAGGGGCTGTACCAGTTTACATTCCCACCAACAGTGCAGGAGGGTGCCCGTTTCTCCACATCCTCGCCAGCATCTAGAGTTCTCTGATTTGCTCATTTTAGCCACTCTGACTGGCGTGAGGTGGTATCTCAGTGTGGTTTTGATTTGTATTTCCCTGATGAGGAGGGATGCTGAGCATCGTTTCATGTGTCTGTTGGCCATCTGGATGTCCTCTTTGGAGAAGTGTCTGTTCATATCTTCTGCCCATTTCTTCACTGGGTTGTTTGTTTTTCGGGTGTGGAGTTTGGTGAGTTCCTTATACATTCTGGATATCAACCCTTTATCTGATATGTCATTTGCCACTATCTTTTCCCATTCCGTTGGTTGCCTATTAGTTTTGTGGGTTGTTTCCTTTGCTGTGCAGAAGCTTTTAATCTTGATGAGGTCCCAATTGTTTATTTTTGCTCTTGATTCCCTTGCTTTTGGGGATGTGTCAAGTAAGAAGTTGCTGCGGTGGAGGTCAAGGAGGTTATTTCCTACTTTCTCCTCTAGGGTGTTGATAGTTTCCTGTCTCACGTTCAGGTCCTTTATCCATTTTGAGTTTATTTTTGTGCATGGTGTGAGAAAATGATCTAGTTTCATTCTTCTGCATGTTGCTGTCTGGACCCCTTTCCCAGTGTGTGTATACAGTTCCATGTCCCCCAGAGTTTCCTGAAAGGCTCCAAAAAAATAGAATCCTACAAACATTCATTCAGCAGGTACTCCCTGCCTGGCACTGGATCTGGGAAGACAGCATAGAGCAAAGCAGGCCCTGGCAGTAGCCAGCCCTCCTGGGTTCTAACCTATAGAGGTCAGCTGGTGGTAAGCGCTAGAGAGAAAACAAAGCAGGGAAGGCGAGAGGAAGTGCCACAGATGGGTGTGGGGCTTTGAAATGTTACATTGGAAGGCCAGGTGACATTTGTGTAGATATTAAAGGAAATGAGGGAGCCAGCCCCATAGATTTCTGGGAAAATGCATTCCAGTAGAGGGAACAGAGGGTGCAAAGGCCCTAAAGAGGGATGAGTCTGGTGTGTTGGGAAAGAGTTGGGAAGCCTGGAGCTCAGTAGCAGAGTGAGGGAGGGCAAGAAGGAAGATGATATCACCCAGACTGGGGGGGGGGGTATGTTGTACAGGCCCTTCTAGGCCACCAGGAGCACTTTGCTTTTACTGAGTGAATAGGGAGTCACTGCAGGTGCACAGAGATGAGGGACTGGATTGGGATTTGGGGAGAAGGCGATTGGGGGGAGGTAGGAAACAGAGCCACCTGTTAGGTGACTACTGGAGTAACCCAGGTAGGAGATGCTGGTGGCTGGGCCCAGATGGTGCTAGTGGAGAAGGAGAAAAGGCTGGGGTTGTGCATGCACTATGAAAATGGAAACGGAATTATTTGCTTCCCTGGAAGAGAGGTGTGAGCATAGGAGAAAAGTCAGGCAGGACCCGAGGGAATCAAGCTAGGGCAACTTGAATGATGGAGCTGTCATGAACTGAACTGACAGACCTCAGGAAGAGTGTTTTGAGGATGACCAGGAGCTCAGCTGGGTGCATGTGCAGTTTGAGCTATCTAGTGGCCATCCAGGTGGTGGTGCCAAGCCGGCAGTCGGCTGTCTGACACAGGTGCAGCTGTGATCTCACAGGCTCCGAGGACACTTGGGGGAGTGGGCATCACCCACCCCACTGAGGAACAAGTGACATGAAGGTGGAGTGGAGGTATCTTGGAGCAGAACCCCATCTTCCCCCTCCTTGATCAGTGCACTTTGAGGAGAGGGATCAAATTTTAAAAGCTTTCTGCAATTCTCTGTGATAGACTCAGTTATCACCTGATCTGCTGCGTTTAACCAGATTCTTTCAAGACACTCATGAGCTCTCTATCGCTCTAGGGGACATGGTAGCTCTAGGTTGACTCCTCCTTGCAGGAAGGGACAGGCCAGGGGCCAGGACTCCACGGCAGCCTTGTCTGGGGTGAAGGTAGGGATTGCCATCAGTTCGATCGCCAGAGAGCGATAACTTCTCCAGAGCAGCCCGGACTGGACCGAGCCAAGGTGGATTCCTATCCAACAGCCTGGCTGCGGGGCACCCTCGAGGTGCCTCGTGGGGCTACAGAGGAGTCTGACACCTGTGCCTAGAGGTAGGCAGGACTCCGCTCCTCAGCCTGGGAACTTTGTGAAATGCTCAGAGGCAAGCGTCCAGCTCCCCAGCTCCGTTGCGCCTACGTAGCCCACGAAGGGACTTTGGTTGGTTCTCACAGGGGGCCCAGCGCTTTCCGAGGCCCGAGGGCGTGGGCGCAGAGAGAAGGAGGGGCTGAGTGGGCGGCGGGCCCACCCCTTTATTCCTGGCCCGCAGCTCCGGCCGAGTGAGACCAGATGTGGTGGTGACAGGTCGCTACTCAGAGGTGCAGGCAGGATCTGTGATTGGGCTCTCGGGCTTCGCGGGAGCTGCTGCCGTGGGACCAGACGCGGCGTCCGTGGGCTGAGCTCAGCCTCCGCCGCCGCTACCACCCAGGAAGTCCAGGTTAGGAAACGCACCCCGGCCGGGGGCCTTGGAAAAGGGGCGCAAGCCAGTCCCCTGGGCATGGGGGGAGGGGAGCCGCTGGCTTCAGCGCCAGGGCAGAGGGCGGACAGAGCGCTCTGGCCCGCCGGGAGGTTCACGAGGAACCCATGTTCCTGCAGAAGCCGCAGGTGTCTGCCCTGGGATAACCCCGGGCGGAGAGGGGGCAGGTCCAGCTCAGCTCGGGAAGGGGCTTTGCCGGCCGGGACCAGTGGGGAGGGAGACGGGCTGGCGCTCCTGGGCTCCCGGTGGCCCAGGGTCTGCGAGGAGGCGGGGCGGTGGGGGTGGTGGGTGGCAGTGGAGGAGGGGAGGGGGAGAAGGCGGGGGACAGGAGAGGGGGAAGGCGGACGCTAGGCAAGGGGGTGTGTAGTTTAGTAGCCGCCACCTGAGAGCACTGGCCCCCACTGCCGTCACAGCAGGTCGGCTTGGCTGTCCTGGCGGGAGCCAGCTAGCAGACGCGTCGCCAGTGGGACAGGCGCTACCCACCCAAGCAGCCACCACTGAAGGTGAGCGCCCTCCCAGGGCGAGGGGGAAGGGGGGCTTGGCTGCCAGCTCTTGGGTCAGTCTGTGCTCTGCTCAAAATGGGGAAGGGGTGTGTGGGGTGGGGGTTGAACGGCCTACTTTATGGTGAGACTCCCGCTCCTGTGACTCTCCGGCGTCCGCCGGGGATCGGCTCTCCCCCCCCCCCCCCAGTGTCTCTCTAGACGTCGTTTTCTCTCGGTCAGCCCCTGCCTCTCTCGGTTTCCGTCTCTGTCTTGGTCCCTCTCGGTCTCTGTCAGCGTCGCGCGCTGTCTCGCCCTGCCGCGGGTGAGTGCCGGCTCTCCCGCTCTCCCTGCTCGCTCTCCGTCTGTCAGGGGCGCGCGCGGCTCACCGGCTCGCTTGGCCCAGACGCGGGAAGGCTACCTGCCGCTTGCCGGTTTCCCAAGTGCGCCGGGCTCTGCCTGCGGCCCTCCAGCGAGTTCCATCCGCTCGTGCCCAGGGGCCCGCGGCCACCCCGCTGTCGCTCTTCCCCATCAGCGCACTGTCTAGACGGGCCACCTGCCGCCGAGGGCACAGACCGCCTCCCGCTGAGAGCGGAGCCACAGAGGTACTTGCGACCGTGGCCCTTCCTTCCCTCCCGCACTCCCCAGCTGCCCTGGCTACAGTGGGCTGGAGAAACCAGGCGACCACAGCGAAGCTAGCCTTCAGCCGTTTTCCCTTTCAAAGAGTGGCAGGAGGGCCTGATAGGCCCCTTGGGCGGCCGCTCGCTTCCGCTGTCCATGGCCCCATCCTGCCTGGAAACTCTGCGTTTCGGGGCTCAGGGCTGGCGGGGTCGCGGGCGGGGCAGCGTGGCTTCCCCTTTAAGGCCGGAGCCGCTCGTCGCCGTGAGTGTGAGGGTGTGTGAGTGTGCGGCGTGCGTGTCTCCTCCTCCCCGAGTGACACAGCAGTGAGAAATGCCTATCAGTAACTTAAACCCCCGAAACTCCACCTTCCGGGCGCGCGGCGCGGAGCCGGGCGGTGGGAATGGAGCGAGCAGATTGAGGCCGCCACTGCAGCGCCGCCGGCATGAACTTGGCCGCAAGCTGAAGCAACCGGCGGCGGGCGGGCGCGGGGGCACCGGCCGCTAGCCTGGGGGTGATCTGCAACCCACCCGGGCCACTCAGCGGGAGCCCGAGGCCAGGCTGCCTGCGCCGGCGGCCGCCCGCCCCTGGGGCACTGCCCCCGCCGCCGCCGAGGGAGCTCCGCAGCACGGTAAGGCTGAGGACGGGAGCGGGAGGTCCGGCTGCTCTGGGGGCTCCAGGGTGCACTTGTGGCCCGCGCTTGTGGTTCCCGTCACGGAGATGCTGGAGGACCCCAAAGTTTGCTCCAAGCACACGGCCCACCTGGCGCTATGCGCGGCCGGCCCCCCTCTCGGACCCGCCGGGCCGGCCTGAGCGCAGCTCCCATCGCCCGGGACTTCGGCCTCTGCTTGCTCCCCAGCGCCCAACGGGGGTCTGGAACCGGGCGGGGGCCGGTAAGTACCGGGGAGGGAAAGCAGAGCAGCGCGAGCCATAGGGTCTTTCCTGGTCGTGCGGGGCTAAGTGGAGGCTCCCACTCCGTTCCGGCGCCCCTCGGGCCGCTGGCGGCCCGGAGGCCACCGGCGACGCTGCCATCGCATGCCAGTTCCCTGAGCCTTGGCCAGTCGACAGTGGGCGCTGGGCATAGGATTCCACCCCCGCCCCCCAACCCGGTTTGCCGCCACCGAGCGGGAGTGTGGAGTGTGCGTGCGCCGAGCCCGCTGCCTTGCGCTCCCTCCCCTGCCAAATCCTCCTCTGGAGAGCAGCCCCGAGCAGAGCTGGCGGCTCGAGTCAGCCCCGACTGGGCTCCTGCCCGGAGCTCCCGGCGCCCCCGCGCTCGGAGCTCTCAGGCCTCGGAGCGGCGGCGGAGCCCGGCGCCCGGCGCCGGCAAGGGCGGGCGGGAAGCCCCCCGGAGCGCCGCCAAATACTTTTCTGGGCCAGTTGGCTCGGCTCGGCTCCGTCCCGATGCAGTGTGTCCGAAGCCACTTGGAAAGCTGGCCGTACCGTCTGATTTTGATCCGTGATTAAATGCGGACTGAGCAGACACTAATAGGATTAGCCTGCCAGAAAACTGCCCTGAAGTCGTCGGAACCTAAGCAAACTGACGCACCTCGGGCGGGGGGTTTAGCTCCACCGCGCTCCTGCAGCTGGGCGGCTAAGCGGGGCACCCAGAGTGTGGGTGGGAGTGTGTGCGCGGGAGTGAGCACAGGATGGCTGGGGGACGCGGGGAGAAGGGACTCCGCTTGCTGGGGTGGCTTGTCGTCGTTGTTTAGCAGCAGAAGAAATCCCCCCCCCACCCCCGGGGTGCCGTCCCCACAGCGAATATGTTTGCGGGTAGCCGAACGAGGCCGGCTCCGGGACATTGTCTGTGAGGGCTAGTGAGCCTAGCGTACCAGAGGCAGCCGCGCTGGAACAAAGACGCAAAGTCTCCCCGAGCCCAAGCAATTTCGAAAGAGTTGGCTGGGAAGAGGGCCCAGGTCTCCCAGGGGAGACCCCCGCAGAAACCGTGCGGTCCCTAGCACCCGGGCCCCATGGCCCGAGTGATCTGTTCCTGGGCTGCGGCGAGCCGGCGGGCAGCATCGCAGCGGCGCAGCCCAACCCTTGGCAGGCGCGGGCCGCCGCCCGAGTGTGCCCACGGGCCGGGCGGGGTGGGCCGCGCACCCGTGGGGGCTTCCCGGCCGCCCGGCCGCATGGGGCTCCTGGAGGCAGTGCAGTTTCTCCCCCCACCCCATCTCTTCTTGTCTTTATAGATCCCCCCTCCCTCCTACCCCCGCCGCTGCAGCCGCCAACAATCCGCTTTATAAAAAGCCCCTTTGTTTCCCAGGAGGCTGGAGAGAGGGAAGGGGAAAAGGGACGCAGAGGCAGGGGGCGGGGGCGGCTGCCTCCCAGTGGCCTCCAGCCGCTCGGGACAGGAGAGCAAGTGTAGGCGGTGGGGGAGGGGTTTGTGTTTCGAAGACCCTCCCCAGGAACCCCAGAAGGCGTGGGGAGCCCCTGGCTCCTGGCACCCACCGCGCGCCCCGCCAGCTGGCTACGGACACCCGGGGCGAAGGCGGCACGAACCGCGGGGCTGGAGGCGCAGCGAGCAGCAGGACGCGGAGGCCAGAGGCCAAGCACGCTCTGCGGGAAGGGCAGATGCGGCTCGCCGCTGCGCTCGCGGGGCGCGGACATAGGGGGCGCCCTTTCCTCGGTTTCGCTTTGCAGCCCGCGCCCCTCACCTCCCGGCTGAGGGCGGCTGTCTTGCCCGCCCGTGGTGGAGACGACGGCTGTGACTGAGGCTTTCGCCACCCTGTGGCTACACTCTTCACTCCTTCCTGCGCCCTCCTGCCGGCCACGTCCCCCCCACTCACACCGGGGCTCAAATGCTCTGCGGACCCCCTTTGTTTGGAGGCAGGGAGGGAGTCGGAACCGCAGCCTCTGAGGTTCTTGACGCCTGGGTGGACAGTGGGGACGGGGTTGCACCTCCAGACCATGCGTCGGTCTGTCGCCTCTTCATGGAGCCAGCGCCGGACAGTTGGGGGTGTCCAGGACGCATGGGCGGCCGGCATTAGTTGGACTGAGAATTTAGCGGGCCCCTATCCCCTACACCTGCCCTTCCCCCCAAATTTGTGGGAACCCGGACTTTCATTGAGGAATGTTAAACATATTAGAAGTAACCTATCGCCAACCTGTCGGCTTGCCTCGCCTCCGGCCCCCTCTCCAAATCTGTCGGCTTCTCTCGTAAAGTTTGTTCTGTTCCGAAAAGGAATACTGACAATAAGAAAAAATTGACAAATAAGGAGAAGTGGGCGGGGTCCAAAGAGCGAAGTCAGATTCCTCCTGATCTCTTGCCGCCTCTGTCCCGCTTCCCATTTAATCTTGTTGCGGGCATATTATTTGTACCTTTTGCATATCTTTCCTCTAATCCACTCCATTCCCATCTCTGGAGGTTATTCGAAAGTGTTGGTCAAACATTTGTTCTCTGAGTTTTGGAATTGAAGGTGAAGCGTTAACTTCCTCCACCCCCTCCTCACACACACACACACACACACACACACACACACACACACACACACATCCCAACTGCATCTAAAACCACAAGAAAGTACTCAAAGGGTAAACCACGGGCTCTACCTTCTCCTCCCCCCTTTGTGCTTCCCTTCTGGAGCAAGATCATTGGAAAATAAAGCTGCTGATGTGCGAGATGGAACATATGGTGCCTCCATAAGAGAGTAGCTGAAATGGCCTTGAACCTGCCGGACAGACCAGCTGTTTGCTGCCAGCCAGAGCAACTAATCAGCTTCTTTGCCTTAAAGTAACATCCCTCTTTTCTCTTGATGACCAGTTTGCATATTAAATAGGATATTCTCCAGAGGAGATAGGAGATGGGTTTCTATATTGCTTTGTGCTTTGGTGGTTCTCCACACGCCTTACCCGCTACTCTGCGTGCTGCCTTGGCTTCTCTCCGCATGCGTGCCTACAGTGTGTTTCCTTTAACACTGATAAAAGAATGTTGCTCCAAGTGGAACTTGGGAAGAAGGAGGCAGGAGACTGGAGACCGGCTGAGATAGTCCCAAATGCCTGGGAGGAAATCTCTCCGTTTTGTTCGTATTGGCTTCAAAAAAATTACCAGTTCTCCCCCCACCCCACACACACATACACACATTAAAAATATCACAAAGATCTGCAGCTCTTCTTCATAAGATCTCCTTAGAAATCATCCCTTCCGGCTGCGACCATTTTCAGTTTTCCTTCAGTACAAAGTGTTTGAGAGAGGGAAGAACAGTTTGGCTTTAGAAGAAGAAAGGCTAGAGGAGATACAAGGAAATTCCATGTTAGGAAATCATTAGCAAAGGGTGACTTCGTCAGTTTTCCTGCCACTGACGCTGACAGTGACACAGATGTGTGGGTTGAAACAGGAACGTCATTGAATTTTTAAACTTAACCAGGAAATAGCCTGTTGCTGGGTTGGGGGTGGGGGCTATCCATTCACTGCATCTTAAGGTAGGAGATTTACTGTTGTCGATGTGTTGATCCTTTTCAATAAGGAAAGGATTTTTTTTTCCAAGCCTGGCCAGCATGTTTAATATCGGTTTTCCCCATTTTAAGCAGATCACCTAAAGGCTAAAAATGCACCTGTTAATAGATCATCCCTAGGAAACTCAACGGCTCTCCAGGCTTATAAAATGGGGAAAAACTGATATTAGATCAGTCGTTCTTCTGACAATAGTTGGACTACTCTCCTTCTTTAAAGAGGCTTCTTCTAAGCAGTAAACCTTTTATTTTTTTAACAGTCTGATTTCCTTCCTTCCCTCCTTCCTTCCCTCCTTCCTTCTTTCTTCTTTCTTTCTTTCTTTCTTTCTTTCTTTCTTTCTTTCTTTCTTTCTTTCTTTCTCTGCAGTGGTGCATTAGAGAGATAATTAACCTAGAATCTGGGAAACTTGTGTTCTAGAACACTCTCCCCACTAATTAAATGAGCTGAGTGATCTTGGACAAGTCCGTCCCCCTCCTTTCTCCTCCCTCCCCCTCCCCCCAACCTTCATGACCTAGGAGTCAGTCCCTTCCAGCTCAAACACACTGTGATTTGTAAATAAAATAGTCATTTTCTGGAAAAGCGAAACACCTTTGGGGAAAATGGCTACATGTAGAAAGAAATGAGATTGATATTTTGAGGGGCAGCAAGAAGAGGCAGAAGTAAAGAAAATGGCAGAAGGCCAATCAAAACAATATAAAATTGTGAAGTGCTCCCTCTCTCTGTGTCTTATGCCGGTGTGAACCTCTAACCCAGAAGGCTTCTTGTCCAGTAACCCTAATCTGGTGATCTCAGGGCCTATTGACAGCAGGCCTCCTAATCATTGGGTTGGTTTACAGATAACAGGATCCAAACTCTTTGAAATTAGACTGGCATGTTTCCAAAGGACTCATCTAATAGAGAGCAGATTTGCTGCTTTGCAGTTATTTAGCAAAGATTTCAAGGACAAAAAGGCCTTCCCTCCATACACATGTGCCCCGCTGGAGTTTGGGCTCTGAACTCACTGTTGAATCTTTTCTTTTCTTCCTAGTCCAGCTGGGCGTTTTTTAAAAATCACATTTCCAACTTTGAGGGACACAGCAGCCATGCAAGAATCTGCCACTGTCCTCCTTGATTTTAATATTGATTTTCTTTGAACGTGGGGGGTGGTGTGCGAACGTTATGAGGAAGGACCTTTTATCCTCTGA